CACACACACACACACACACACACACACACACACACACACACCCTACCCCCTCCTCCCACCCGAGCTGTCAGAAGGGGCCCAGGTTCTGGGAGCCCCTAGCTCCCCCTCCCCCTGGCGCCTGCGCACTGGCAGGTCCTCCTCTTCCTCCTCCTCCTCCTCCTCCTGCGGCCCCGCCCTCTCCTCCCTCCGGCTCCTCGGCCGCCCAACAGCTGGCAGGCAGGCAGGCAACGCCGGTGCCCGGCCGGGAGGGCAGCGAAGGGAGCCGAGGCTTCCAGGGCGCAGCGGCGAGCGCCTGCCCCTGGGCGATGCTCCGGCTGCCGGGCGCGCTGTGCTGGCTGGGCGGCTGGGCAGCAGCGCTCTTGCTGGGCTGGCCGGCCGAGGTCGGGGCCGCCTCCGCCAGCCTGCAGCTGCCGCCCTGCCGGGAGGTGAGAGCCCCGCGCGCGATCGCGGCGCCTGCCGTGGGGATGGGTGGGTGGGGTGGCACCGTTTCCCCAGCTTTGCGCGGGGAGAGGGCTTTCCTCTCCTCTGCCGCCGCCAGCCGCTTTCTTTCTTTCGGGGGCTGGCCCGGGAGAGGAGACCACCAGGAAAGCCCAGGAGGGTCACTTAGGCGGGGGCGCTGGGAAAAAGGCAAAGGGCGCTCGGATGGCCCCGGTTTCTTGGGCTGCGGGGATTTGGACAGTTCCTGGGACGACGGATCGCTTGGAGCTCCAAGAGGAGGAGAGATTTCCCGAAGGGTGGGGGTTGTGTGTGAGAGAGAGAGAGAAAGAGAGAGAGGGGGAGGGAGGGAGGGAGGGAGGGAGAGGCAAAGGCAGAGGGAAAGGCAGAGAGAGAGAGAGAGAGAGCCACAACCAACCACCACCGTCAAAGGGCCAGGAAGGAGGTTAGGGCAGGGGTCCCAACCTTGGCCGCTTGAAGCCTGGAGGACTTCAACTCCCAGAATTCCCCGGGGGGGGGGTCTCCAACCTTGGCTTCTGGGCTTAGGGAAGAATAAATGTGATGCGCCTCTTAAATTTGTCAAGAAACAAGATCGGCTCCTACATCCCCTCTGCAATCCAAACTTGGTTCTGGACTGAGCCCGCTTTACCTGTTCACACGATACTCAAACTCTTCTTCTTTTGAAATGGGATTCCTTTCTTTGCACAGCAACGGGGTTGCTCAGCCGGTTGGTACTGAGTCAACCTGCAGTTTGTTTGAATGTGAAAACGGGGAAAAAAATAATAATGGACTGGATGCCCACCACGTTCTTAAAAGCCCCCTTTCTAAACAAACCAGGTTCATCCTAACCAGCCTTAGCAGTCTTTTTTTTTGCAAGTTTTATTCCTTGCCCTCTTTCTTCGTTGTGGAAATGTGGCTTTTGTGACGCAGAAGTGCGAGTGATGAAGGTGCCGTCCTGCTGGGAGAGAAATGGACTTTCCCAACACGTCTTCCTTGGAAAGGGAGGTTGGGATTGCATCCGAGAATCGAAGAGGGTTTCCCCACTTGTAGATGGGCCGTCAGGACAAAATATCAGCCTGGGGGGGGATAGTGGGGGAGTTGGCTTGGTTACCTGGAGAGAGCAAGGAAAATATTAGAAGTCTCCTCCAAGAAATTCTTCACTCCTATGATGCAATAAGAATGTGGTTTAGGAAATTTTGATTTGTCTCGACCTCGTGTCTCTGCAGTGAGGGAAGGGATTTGCCCTAAGTGCCTTCTAGGAAGTCTGTTTATTTTCTTCTCCCATCTGGGTTTATTTATTTTATTTATTTATTTTGTCAAGCGTGCATTTGATTATGCATGCATGTATGTATGTATGTATAAACACGATTATTAATACATGAAATGGATACAAATAAAAGGGGAACGTTAAGACAGGGACGGTAGGCACGTTGGTGCGCTTATGCACGCCCCCTGCAGACCTCTTGGGAATGGGGTGTGGTCAACAGTAGACCACCGTCTGAGGTTGAAGGGTTTGGGGTTAGTGGAAGAAACCACAGAGTCAGGTAGGGCGTCCCAGGCATTGACCACTCTGTGGCTGAGGATCCCGTCTTGCTTAGTTCGTCATGCCAGAACCAACCAGGATTTGGATTCTTGCTTCTTGGACTACGATGCGTTGACATTGCTCTCAACTGATGTAGAACTCGACGGAGGAGAGACCGTTAAGGATTGTAACTGTGATTTGTGATCTGCGGCCTGTCACTTTGTTGTCGTAGGTGTGCACACTGAGAGCTTATGCCTTGGGGGTCTCTTTGGTGTCCACCGTCTAGGAAGCAGTGTGCCCTGGCCAGGAAGGCAACGGGCCTCAAGCTTGGCTTGAAGGAGTTCGTTATTTTTTGGTCATAACAAGTGACGGCACTCAGCTGTAGGCTTCATTTCTTTCTTTCTTTAAATTTGGGGGCCCACTTTTAGTACTTTATAAGTAACTCAAGGCAGCAGACATACCTAACTCCCCCTTCTCTTCTTTTTCCTCACAACAACAACCCTGTGAGGTGGGCTGGGAGAAAGGGACTGGCTCAAAGCCACCCAGCTGGATTCCATGCCTGAGCTGGAACTTGAACTCATGGTCTCCTGGTGATTGGCCCAATGTCACTAGCTGGCTTTCATGACTAAGTCAGGTCTAGAACTCACAGCTGCCTGGTGATTGGCCCAAAGTCACCCAGGCGGCTTTCATGCCTGAGGTGGAACTAGAACTCACAACCTCCTGGTGATTGGG